TTTTCATCCACCCATTCTAGCAGAATATATAGAAACTTTCCAAATCATTCTACAGTAAATCCCTGTCAGGGTCATAAATCACACAGCTGTTCAGCTCCCTGCAGGGTCCTCAGAACTCCACATTTTCCTTGGTGCAGGAGGTCTATCAACACTCAGGGCTGGGCTGGCCTGAGGTGCATTGCCAGTGTAACTGGATCCAGTCTTGTCATCTGCTCTTAAATTTCCATTTGTCTTTCCTGAACTGGTCTTGAAGCTTTCTCTGGGTTACCTTGCCTCTGTCAGATGAGGTGTCAATGGGACTGGTTGCCTCCACTGCCCTGCTCTGCTTCCCTGTGCTCTGAGTATGGGGATTCTGATCATTGCCCTGCTGTTTTGGGGGCACCCTTAGCTCCCAGCTCAGCTTCCCTCTGGAGCAGCCTCCCTCTTGCAGCCATGGACAGTCCCCAGGTAGGTGAGTCCATAAACACAAGAAAGGGACTTGGAAATTACAGAAAAATATTCTTATTTTATCTACAGAAGTAGGTTAAAGACTGTGTCAGTGAATTGGGAATCCCTATCCTTACTCCACTGTCTGAAAGCACACACTTCAGTGCCTTCACACTTCCACACCAACAATCATTTTGAAACATTCAGTTTAAATACTCCTAGCTGTAATAGCAGGGTTTTGTGCCTGACTTTTGAACATGAAACTGTACAGAGACTATTATCAACCTTCAGACATGGCTGGCTGGATGTAAGTTTGTAAGGTGACAGTGATGTTTTTACTCTTTCTCTTGCCTAGATTCATACAACTGTCTTAGAGAATTTTCCTTTTTTTTTTTAAGAGATTGTATGCCACTACTGTATTTCAAAGTCAACCATTTTGCCACTTGGGGTTTCCTGCAGTTTGCTAATATAACTTATTTGACAGGTTTTCATGTGTCACCCAGCTTTCTGCCAAATGTGGTGTTTGGTGTATCCTGCTTGTCGCTCACTTCATTTGTAGCAGAGTTCAAGTTATTTGCAAGGAAAAGTGCTGGAAAAGGAAACAGCTGAGGCATTGTACAGTCAGCCAGGAAGAGTGGATAGGAGAGTTACTTATCTGTCTCATTCTCCCTTCATGTATGTTTTCTGACATACATGGCAGAAGTGAAGAATTAAATTATATCTGAAGAAGGCCCAAAAAATGTTGGTATATGATAATAAATACACATAATTACAACATTCTCATGGAATACCCCATCTGACAGTGTCAAGTAAATTTTGTGATGGGAGCAGTAGAAGGAATTATTCTATTGAAAATAAGGCTGCCATTTTGAGACTGATAGAAGTGTGGAAGTCCAACAACAACTCTACCCTCAGAAGTTGTACCCAGACTACATGGTTTTGCCTTTCCCCCTTTTTTCTTTTTTTTTTGGTGTTTTGGGTTTTCTTTGGGGGTGGGCTGGG